ATGGCTTGGTCCCATATGAGGTCAACTGAATCAGGATCCCAGGGATGGAACGTAGGAGAGTATTTTCTGAAAGTTTTGTGTAGTGATTTGAAAGCAATATGATCGAGAAACGTTGCATTCCTCATAGATAACATCATATTGATTGTGGAAGGCACATTTACTCTCTGGGTCACTGAGCTTTGCATCCCTGATTTCAACCAAGCATGCATCAAAAATATTTGAACAATAAATTGTGCCTATACTGAGCATGTACATTTTACCTCCTTGTCATTCCCTAAACAACTCAGTGTAACAGTTATTTACATAGCACTTACATTGTATTGGGTATTAAAAAGAATCTAGACATGATTCAAAGTGTATCATGGGGATGCACATAGGTTATATGAAAGTACTGTGGCATTTTATGTAAGGGACTTGAGCATCCACAGATTTGGTATCTATGGGGTCTTGGACCGAGTTCCCTGTAGATACCAAGGGATGGCTGTATAAAAAGATGGAGAATACTTCCAGATGCTTTGGTGGGCCATGGATATTTGACTTTTAAAAGCAAAAGTCAACAAGAAATGTGTAGATTTATCTTTTTGCCTTTTTTTTTTTTTTCACAAGCACCGGCACATCTCAGAATAGTTCTCAAGTTGTAAAAGTAAATCTTAAAACACAAAAGTTTCTTTGGGAAGATGAAAGAGAAAAATCTCTATGTTCTGATGAGTAATACTGAAAAGAGGACCACACTGACCCCAAAAAGCATATTTTGCAGTTGTTCATGCATTACTCTCACAAAGTCCCTTTGTTTTCTACTTTGCTATTTGCACAGATACAGTAATTTCCTATATCTTTTTGGTAGTTTAAAGTAGTGGTTCTCAAACTTTATTGTGAATTAGAATTACCCAGAGAACTACATAAATGCAAATGTCTGGGCCCTGTTCCCAAAGTTCCTGATAGAGTGGGTCTAGAATAGGAGCAAATAATCTGTATTTTAACAACTTTCCAAGAGGGGCTGAGACTACTGGTCTTGGTACCATAATAAACTATGGTTGAACATAATTGCTTGTCCCTCCAAACCTTTTATCATAAATAGTAAAGAATAAATGTGAATATTAAGTATTATTCTATCTCATTTCATTGTTTTTGTTTTATTTATTTATTTGTCTTATTTTTTGTACCAGGGATTGAACCCCCAAGGGCGCTTAACTACTGAGCCCTTTTTATTTTTTATTTTGAGACAGGGTCTTGCTAAGTTTCTGAGGGCCTATTTAAATTGCCGAGGCTGGCTTTGAATTTGCTATCCTCTTGCCTAAGCCTTTCTCTGGGGTTACAGGCATGTACCACTAAGCTTGGCTCTTTTTATTTTTTGTGGTACTAGGGATTGACCCTAGGAGTGCTTTACCACTGAACTACCTCTCCAATTCCCTTTAGTTTTCATTTTGAGACAGGATCTCCCTACCTTGCCCATACTGGCCTTGAACTTGCAATCCTTCTGTCTCAGCCTCCCAAGTCTCTGGGATTAGAGGTGTGTGCCACTACTTCTGGCTGATTCTATCTGATTTCAAAAAGGATTTGAACAATTATTTAAAAAGTATGCACAGCAGGTTAAATTTTAAAATTTAAAAAAAGTAAAGAATTTTGGATGAAAAGTAAGACTTGATAGTAAAATAAAACTTAATAGCATAAACATATAGGAACTAATTATTTTATGATAAAGAAATAAAATGTGTTTATTTATCAAAGTATAGATTTGAGAGTATCAATTCTGTAAAGCAAATCTTATTTCTGAGCTTTTTTTTTTTCTTATTTCTTAACTGTTTGAAACTTAAATAACAACATTTAGCTGTTCTAAAATGAAATGAAAATGTAAAATTGTTTGGCTAGTCCGTGGTTATAATAGCCAAGGATGAGCGGTTCCATTCTGCTGTTTTGCATGTACATAGATTGCTTTCAAGCAGAACAAGAGAAAATGGAAGGAGCGGGGATACACTCGGGGTACTTAATAAAGCTGTATATAGGAAGATATGCTAACCTGAAGATAACTAACCTGAAAAAAGGATTTTTTTTGGAGACTTGAAATTTTTGGACTCATTATCTATGCTGGAACACAAAGTTCAAAGTAGGAGGCAGTCTGAGCAAACAAAGCAAGCCAAGTAGAGACTGTAGTCCCTGATCTGGCTTGCTGTTTAAAGGGGTAACCACAGCCCACTGCCGTCTGATAGTTGATTTATCAAGAGAAACCAGAAATTAAATTCTTATATAAAATGTCACGAAGTTGCCAGAAATGGTGGCACATGCCTTGGAATCCCAGCTACTTGGGAGGCTGAGCCAATAGTATCTCAAGTTTGAAGCCAGTTTCAGCAACTCAGTGAAACTCCATCTCAAAATAAAATATAAGAAGGGCTGGCGTGCAGCTCAGTGGAAGAGGACCCTTGTTTTAATCTCTAGTACTGAGGGGGAAAAAAGATTAAAATGTTACAATTTTTAAATGTTGACAACAAATTTAATTTAAAAAATAAAACTATTCAATTTAAAATATTTGTGGGCCAGATTTGGTTTTGCTATTTGCAAATTCCAGATGATAGTGACTAAATTAACCTGGTTAATTAAAATTAAAACTCCTTTGCACTCTGGGCAGGTCTCATCTACTCAGATAGCTCATCAGACCAGAGCCAAAACAATTTGTCAACTCTTACTTGCTTGTCTTTAGCTTGGTGGTTCTCGAAGTGTGGCCCTAAATCATCAGCTTGTTAGAAATGCAAATTATCTGGCCCACCCATCCCTACCAAATCAGAAACCCTGGGAACAGAGCCAGAGATCTGTATTTTAACAAGCCTGTCCATGTGACTCTAAGGTCCACCACAAGTATGAGAGCTGTTAATTTACTTGAAGAGAACTTCAGGCAGCCTCATCAAACCAGCACAGGGCTACTGTGTGGGTAAGATGAGTTCCTTACCAGTATCTCAGAGCAGAGTTCTTCAATCCTGTGACATCTCAGATGGGGATGGAGTTATGGCCTTGTTGATAGATACTATGACATATATATATTTTTTAAGATAAAATTCCAAAGTAGCATGGAGACTCCTTTGTGAAGTTTGCTAAAGAATAGTAGCCAGTTCAGAGACTGGTGTCAGATGGCCTTTTATTCATTCTGGCTGACTTCTCTAGATGTTGTTGGTGTCACCTAACAACGTTATCTCTTTTCCTCTCTTAGCTACCAAACGTTGCCTACTTTCCAGAGCAGCCCTTGAATATTTTTGAGGATAATTAGCCTGTGAGTATAGATAAAGATCCTTCCTTGGACCTACTCATTTGGGGAAATAGTTTCAATTATATAAATAAATGTCAAAATATATCTACAGGAGGACACTAGTTCTGAATGAAAAGAATTCAGTTTTAAATCAGTATTTTTTCCAATATTCACATGTGTGGCAACACATGCCAGCAATTCAACTAAGCTTGCTATTTTTATCCTTATGTTTGACATCTTGTAGATTAATATGAGTGAGGTATCAGAAGGATGGGTTGGCACTAAGGAGATGTGGTTTCTTGTGCCATGTCTGTCTCTTCTCATCTGTGCTTTCCTGGACTGGCCAATTTTGAGGCCCCTTTTCTCAATCTGTGAAAAGAAAAGACTTGCACTGAATGATATCTGAGAGCTTTTCAGCTCTGGAAACATTTGATGATATTAAGGGCTTAGTGTCATGTGGGTTCTGAGTCTTAGCCGAAGCTTCTCTCGTTGTTTGGCTATCTGTGGATTCTGTATTCACATGCGTTCCATTTAGATCACATGCTATGAGCTCATTTACTGAGCTTTTATAGTAATACTTAAGCATTTATATATTGCTTTTCATCTTCAAAGCACTTAACATACTTATGAGTCCTTCCAGCAACACTTTGAGGTAACTAAGTAGTATTACAACCAGGGCAAGAGAGAGAGAGAGAGACAGATATATTGAGTGATTTATCTCTGGTTAATGGAAGAGAATATACTAGGACAACACAATTAAAAGTAAAATATTATTTAAGGAAACAGAGAGAGTAGCCAGGTGTGGTGGCACACACCTATAATCCAGGCTAAACAGGAGGCTGAGGCTGGAGTGGTAGATTGTCCAGTGTTCAATCCCCAGAACTAAACCAAACCAAAACAAACAGAACAAAAAAGCAAACAAAATCAGAGAGCGTGTTATGGCCAGCATTAAACTTGCTTCCTTGTGTCATATTAGGTCTTTGTATCAAAACCCTTCTTCCTCTGAACATTCTTAGAGTTAAGCTTAGTTGCTCCTCCCAGCTCTACTTCAGGATTTTCTCTAATCTTTGTAGGATGAAGGCATTCTGATGTTGTCTGCTTCCTTGAAGGGTAGAAGTCACACCTTGTACAAGCACGGTGCTCAGTTCATAACTGAAGTTGGCTTAGGGGGATGGTGATATGGGTCCTTTCCTATTTTAATCGGTCTAATCAAAATCAGAAGGAAATATATCTGTTGTAAGAAAAGGAAGGTTTCTATTGCAAGAAACCAGCAAATCTACATAGTGCATGTTTCTGGCTGCTGGTTTGCAGGTTTGTAGTCATCTACTCTTTCTGTAGCTTACTAGAGAGGAAGGCCTTTAAAAATAATGCCTAACATATGCCAAACTTTGGTAACCTTTGCTGGTTAGTGAAAATTTAACTCTGAACAGGATCTGTAATCAGAGTCCAAATAATGAGGCAATTGCTTAAAAATTTAGAGTCTAGTTTGAGAATTCATAACCTGACGCTGGAAGAAGAGTGAAAAGGGCTATGACAGAGGGATGGCAGAGAGATGAGGGTGAAGAGAGAGAAAAGAACTTGAGTTCTCTAAAGGAGAATTGTTACCGCATAAGAAATTCTCTTGGGAAGTATCCATCCAGAGACCTCTGGAAATAGGTTAGTATTGAGAGATGAACGCCCCAAGTACCTATATGAACAATTCCCTTTCTCTAAATTTGATTACTGTCATCATAATGCTATGTATTTTATTTAAAAAATAGTTCAAACCTCCTACAAAGGCAGGTCTTTGGTTTCCTGTCTTTGGAGATGTAAGAATTGGAAGAAAAGAAATATGGACTTGGAGAAGTCTAGGGCCAGCTTGCTCCCTTCCGGCTCAGGATTAATCATCCCACATAGAAGAAAATGAACAAATAAATAAATAAAAATTAGTTCAGATTAGACTTATTTTGCCATTTGCTTTAATCTAAGAATTCATTTCTCTATAAATTCCTAACAGTATATGACAGTTTTAGAGGTAGATCAAGGAGTCGTAGAAATAATCTATTTATGTATAACATTATATGTTCCAATTAACAACAAAAAAAAGACACCTGAAAGTGGTTTATCAATATTCATAGTTGACTGGGAAAATCCACCTCTGCCTGTGTTTTTAAGTTGTGCAGTTTTCTCCTGGTGTCTTTTTTTGATCGTCTGCTCTGATACTTGTTGTAACTGCTCAAGAAAAAGGGTTGTAAGAAAAAGTGTTTGTCTCAGAAAATAATGTTTTTGTATCCATTGACTTATGAAACATCATTTTCCAAAAGTACTGAAATTCGCTATCAGGTGAAGATACTTTGCAGAGGAGGTAGGGAGAGAGAGGCTCCTATTTGTTTCTTGCTGATCTGGTTCTGGCCCTAGAGCCTGGAGGTCATCTTAGTAGGCTCTGGAATCTGATGTTTTCTTTTGATGCGGGGTGATAGGACTTGAAGGTGACTTTCTCATGTTCATCTACTCATGATGGACTTGTTTATAGTTGCTTTATAATTTGTAGTGTGAAATTAAGATTTTTAAAAATTGGATAGTTTTGGAGAATTCCGGGGTCTTAAGACATCCACCATCAGTAATGAGAAGGTTTCTCAGTGAGAAGAGAATCACCATTTAAAAAGCAAGCAGGCAAATCTTGTAAGTTATTTCATCCTGGCAGCAATAGAGCCAGGGAAATTGTATTCATTAATGACTGGAAGTCACTTGAAGTCCTCAGGTCTCTTTTTCTTACACAACGTTGAAAGAATGCTTGCAAATTTTTACTTTGCAATTCTTATTTTTCATGACATTGCAGATGTCCAGGTGGAAGTAATTTCTCTGCGGTCCATAAATCTGGTCCTTAACAATTTACTACACTCTGCTTTGTATTTTGATTAACTGTCTACATATCTTATTTGCTGTATTAAATTTAAGCTCTTTGGGGAAGGAACTATATTCTATTAATCTCTCTATATTCCTATGTGGCTATAATTCTGCTTGTATATAGTAGAGACTTGATATATATGATTCATTTGTTCTATTGTTATTTTATTTAATCTGCATATATTGAAAGCACTTCCCCTTTTACCAGTTAGTTCCTGCTGTGATGTATCTGTATAGTGCTCCTTACTAGAAAAAATCCCTACCCTAGTGTTCAAAATATTTTATACTTTAGATCTATAACAATTAACAAAGAAACATAGCACTGTCCTTATCCTGTCTAGCCATAAAGTAAAAAAAGTGTGAAACAATAGAGTTGGAAATAAATTCTCTCTCCAATTAGGCCTTTGCCACAAAAAGAAATGCAAAATGCTATTATTTCTTCAGATACTGTAGGAAATATATCAGAATACCAACATATAAATTGCTGTATTCCCAAATTCTTCTCACATACTTACTCTTAAAAGAATGCCAGAAAGCCGCATTCAGGACCCATAAATTTCAATAGGATAGAACATGCTTCATTGGAATTTTGCTTAACATTATTGTGAAATGCAGTATCAAAATAGCCCAACCCATTTCTCTAGAGTAAATAAAAAAAAGAAGTAAAAAATTATTAAAGCTGTAGCTATATGAATGTTAAATAGACTTTGAAAACTAACTTAACTAGCCTGATTTCCTAATTCTGCTCAACTACACTGACCCTTAAAATCTTCTTTTTGCTTTAAGAAATTTAAAAATATATAATATGGTTCCTTGGCTCAAAAACCAAATTATATAAAAACTATTAAGAAATAATTTTTCTATCGTTATCTCTTATCTGCTGTCCCTCATCCCTCTCTTTTTGTTTCCACTAAACATTTCTTGACAATATTTTTATATTGTATATAAAATTCTCTTTCATAACCAGAATGTTGGTTATAAGAATTAATGTAATCTGTAATTAATCTGTAATGTAATCTGCCTTCTATTGGTATACATTTAGGTTGTTTCTAATGCTTTGCTATTATAAACAATGATTCAATGAATAAATACAAGAGCTATTTTACAAATAGGCAAAATAGGCCAAATTAGAATTGCAGAAACACAATTTTTTTTCCTTTTCTTTATCTCTCTTTATCAACTTTTTCTTTTATGTCTTCTGAATTTAAAATTTATCTTAGTGTAGAGTATCAGGTATAGTTTAGTAAATTATATTTTGACATAATGAGAAAAAATTAGATGAAGCTTTCCTATGGATTAGAAAAAAAAACCTGAATCCACCTTTTAAATAAATGGCTCAGATTGTTGTCTACATTGATTATTCAATGAAAAATCTACCCCCATCCCCCAGTACTAGGGATTGCACTCTATCACTGAGCTACATCCCCAGCCCTTTTTGTTTTTTATTTTGAGACAGAATCTTACTAAGTTTCCCAGGCTGGCCTCCAACATTTGATTGTTCTTCCTCTGCCTCCCAAGTCACTGAGATTACAGGTGTGCACCACAAAGCCTGGCAAATATCCGGATTTAAACATCACTTTGGGAGGGAAAGGGCTCAAGCAGCAAATGAAAAGGGGCATGAAGTAGCTTGGTAGTAGTGTGAGTTCCTGAAGCTCCTGGACAGATTTTTACTGGAGGGGATAGAAAGCAGGTGTCAGATGTTGACAGAATTTGCCATCACTTTTAAAGGCCTACTTAGTGAAACCAAGTGTGAAAGAGTTCACACGTTCCTGAGATAAGACTATATGTTGGAGCTGTTGCTAGAACACTTTATCTCAGCCAAGATAACAGGCACTTGAAGATGGCCAGGACTACAAGTGCATTTGAAAAAGGGCAAATCTCATGCAGTCCCCAGCTCCACAACACCCTATTCATGCCAGAAGAACCGCTTCTGGCCAATGTGGTCAGTAATGATCACAATGAATGAAAGAGGTTCCTGGACTGTTAGTAACCTTGAACTGCCCTCAGCATAAGAGCAATTAAGGAAAAATTAATTGGACAAAGCTTTAGTCATGGAGTAAATTGCTTTTGCAGGTGTTCTAAATATCATAGTAAAATATACTGTGTAGTTGTTTATGCTGGTCATTTAAGGAACTCTGAAAATAAGAAGAGACAACTGGGCTGGGAAAAGAATCTAGAATTATTTCTTGTTCTGTCATTAACTACCTAAGTGTGTTAGACTGAGCTAATCACTTATTCTTTTTGGTCTTGTTTCCTAAAATATTCACTTTTGATCTAGTGATGGAAACTATAAAATCTCAGTGGTTTACAAAAGTGAAGAATAAACAAAGTGTGTTTTTTACTTTCTTGGCATGTGATATGGAGCTGATGCACGTCTCCTCAGAGTGCCCTCTTGGTTGCATGCTGAACGGTCTGTCCTTCCAAAACATGTGAGCTTCTGGTGGAGAGGAAAAAAGACAAGGAGTCAGCAAACCTCATGATGACTATGAAAAGCTTCTGCTTGGCCATGTAGGTACAGCTCTCCCTTACCTACCAATGGCCAAGCCAGTGTCAATAGGCATTGCATGCTACCTGGCGGTGGGTGCAATCAATGAATCATTTCATAAAAAAAGAAGGGTAATATTTGGAAACAGTGATACAATCTGCCCTGGTTCTAATTGTAATTTTATCACTGCTTTCCTGAATTACATCACAGCACTCTGATTTTCAGCAATTAAATGGGGCTTAGATGATCTTCACCATATTTTCTGTTCTAGAAATAGTCATTGTGATTTGTTGTTAGACTGTCAGGAATGCTACTTCTGGATTGTGGTTACCCAAAGGAGGGTCCACTTTATATCTATTCCTGTGATTGCTTAAGATACACTTTATGACAATTATCACTGGTTATAGTTCATTAAATTATCTCATTTACTTTGATGTAGAAGATGAAATTTAGATTATTACCCAAGTATGTTGAGTTCTCTGGCACAAATAGTCATTCATATATAGATATTAATTTTTTAAACTCATTTGGCAGCACAAAACATTTTTCTTCTCTTTTGGCAGTACTGGGAATTGAACCCAAGGCCTTTCACACAGCAAGCAAGTGCTCTATAACTTATCTATACCCCCACCTCTTTTTATTTTATTGCGAGACTAGACTGGCCTTGAACTTGTGATTCTTTGGCCTTTCTCCAGTAGTTGGGTTATAGTCATGCCACTGTGCCCAGCTAGTATAATGCTTCTAAAATTATAAGATATTGAAGACACAACAACTAGAGCTCTTGAGAAATTAGATAGGCTTGGATGAATATAATTTATAAAAGAGTTTCATGAAAAAAATTAATTGTAATTAGAAACTATCAAAATATGATTTATATGCAAATATATACTTGACATTGGATAATCTTATAAATATATGCTGAAATTACAAGCTCAGACACTTAAAAGACCAGTAGTCATAATATAAGCAAAATGCAGTGCCACTTTCTGGGTAGGTGGAGACTACGTAGCAATTGCAGATCAAGAACTCTTAATTGGATTTTAAAGCCCAACTTAAACCTTCCCTATCATTTAGAATTGACTGTGTGTGACTAAAGAACCACAATTAGCAAAGATTTAACATGAAGAGATTTATTATAGTTCTTGTTGACATGATTCAGTGGTTGAGTGTCCATGGGTTCGATCCCTGGTATGAAAAAAAATTACTGGAGATAGACAGTATATTGTAGTGAACATATTACAAAATAGTCTTGAAGGTGTACTCCTTTCAGCTCATGATTTTAAATGTAGTGCTTTCTTCATGTTTCTTCATGTTTCAAGATATCAACCAGAGCACCGAATGATTGCCAGGTGGCAAAATAAGGACTGGAAAAAAATGTGTTAAGATATGTGCAACAATATTTGCATTAGTTACTTTGAAGCAATTTTATTGAAGCTGCCACTCAACATTTCTCTTATGTCTCACTGGTCCCGTAGTCACACTTCATCTACACAGGAGGAAGAGAAAATAATTCTATTTTGGGTGG